GCTAGATGAGGGCTGAAAGTTCATGAGAATACTGATATCTCCAGTCATATGATCTGAAGCTCCAGAATCCACTATCCACAATTTAGACTGATTAGTATGAGTACTAAGGGCAGAAAATCGAGTACCTTGATGTACTAGAAGGCTGGTATGTTGCTCAGTTTGTGAAGATGACTGGTTGGAACTTGAGGCCTGACTGAACATCTTTTGAAGGGCTTCAAGTTGCTGTCTGGTGAATGGGTCGTTTTCTACACTGGTTTCGGTTGCAGCAGCAGCGTTGGCGCGAGGACCTCTATCTTGCCGATTAGGTGGCTTCCAGTTAGCGGGTTTTCCATGCAGTTTCCAACAAGTCGCCTTCACGTGTCCTGGTCTTTTGCAAAAATCACACCAAGGACAACCTATACCAGCCCTACTGGTCTGCGAAGGACTGTGAGTCAATAGGGCTGATCCTTCTACTGCAAGGGCAACATTGGATTCAAGCAACATTAATTTTTTTTTACTCTCTTCCCTTCAGATTTCTGCAAATGCTTCCCGAATGGTGGGAAAAGGTTTGATCGCCATAATTCTCCCCCTGACCTCATCAAGATATTTGTTGAGGCCAAGAAGAAATCTCATTGTCATTTTTTGTTCGACAATTTTCCGATAGAGAGATGAGTCATCAACACACTTCCATGGGTGAATTTCACACATATCCACCTGCAGCCAACAACGGGTAAGCATATTAAAATATTGAGTAACATTCATATCACCTTGTTTTAAGTTGTAAAGCCGTGTCTCCACTTCAAGCAATTCTGAAGTGTTTTCTGTGCTAGAATAGGTTTCGTGCAGCCTCCTATATTTCCTTAGCTATTCGATGAAGAAGAAAATTTTCACCAATTTCAGTGGTCATAGAATTGATTAACCACGACATAACAAGATGATCATCTGTTTTCCATGATCGAAAGCTTGGATCTGCAGCCTCTGGCGCAGTAATTACACCAGTAAGGTGTCCATCTTTGCCTTTGCCGCACACAAACATAAATACTGACTGACACAATTGCAGAAAGTTTTGGCCATTGAATTTGTGATTGGTGATGAGATGTGAAGATAAATCGGGAATAGGAGAGACTACATGAGTGGGCGCAGTGTTCGACGTAACTTCTGAGGTAGAGGAATTGGAAGCCATGCCGTATTTGGTCATGGTGATAAAAAGCAAGAGAGAATTGCTCTTACGATGAGGAAGAAAGAAGAGCTAGGGTTTAGGAACCTGCTCCATGAAGAAATTGTGAATTTTCTTGTTATCATTGAAAAGATATTTACAGCCTAATATATAGAACAATGGACTGGCATACCAGATCCTAAAAATAGGAAACCGAATTCCTACAAATCAGGAATCAGAAACTACTTTCTGATTTCCTATATCGGTAAAGTAAATAATATCTTCTAAATAAGCAACAAAATATATTTACATAAAATATCTCCTATTTCCACAGTTAGAGTTTGTCCTTTTCTGATATTAATTCCCAAAACCGTACATGATTGTGAAAATAACCTGTAAATTTGTGTTTGGTGGTGGGAATTATGGTAGTAGCTTTTCAGATCGATCGATGCTGCTGTTGGGTCTTAGCGAAGAGAGATAGGGGACAATAGCTGTTGGTGGAGAAATACGTTGTTGATAGCAATAGGGACTGGGAAGGCGAAGAAAACTAGAGTTTAGGTTTTCAGAAATCACTCTTATGGAATCACGCTATACAACTCAAATTGCTATCCAATCGATTTTTAATTTTATTCATCAAAAACTCTCAATCGCTGAAATTAAAGAGCTTTCACAATGTTTATGTTGGGCAACGACTAATGTGCAAACCTCCACACGGACTTAAAACACATGCATATCACTTATGGGTTCCATAGTAATTAAATACACAATTCTGGAGCTAAACGTAAATAAATGAAAAGTAAAATATCAAAGTAGATTAATAAAGTAGACCTCCCCTTGTCCATGACCCTCAAGTATAACGTTTGGAATTTTCTGGAAGCAAGATGCTAGTGTTGTATACTTAAAAAAAAAGGATGGTAGCATTATGCACTCTTAATTGGAGAATATTTTGTTACATTTGTTTGAAAGCAGGTGACATGCTCTCCTATATCCTTAACCTTTCTCTTCAAGTGGGCCAGTGGCTATACATTTGAATACATAAATTAAACGGCTAGGTTTCCAATTTATGGGTTTAAATGCTGGCCATTGATTAGGGTTTAAATGTATAAAACTTAACAAGAGATGCCTCAAATAAAAACAATGTTTTAAAAAGCCTCCGTCTAGTCCGTTTAGGTGTACGCCTAGACCTAGGCGGTACCTAGGCCGCCTACCTAGCGCCTAGCGCCTAGGCGGTACGTAGGTTGCCCATTTAGGCTTCGGGAGCGCCTAAGGGAGTGTGGACTGCTTATGTGGATTGCACCCTTTAATCGTAATTTTCTGTGTTGTAGCCACCACGTTCTCCGACCTCCTCCAAACTCCTCTAGGTTTCAACTATGAACACCTCTTTTATCTCCTCCGACCTTCATCCTCCACCACCACTTAAATGAAGAAAGAAATTTCTCTAGTCGTCAGTCCGACACGTAAGCTTTCTATAACATTGCCATTTACTATCAATTATTGTAATTACAAAATAAAAAAATAAGAAAACCGCCTAGGCCTCCCCTACTCACCTAGGCACTAGGCGTCGGGTCAAATGCTTAGGCCGCCTAGCACTTTTTGCAACCTTGAATAAAAAAGAGAAAGTATAGGGCTAAGAACGGAGAAAGATAATTCTATTGATTTTAAATAGAAAATTCTTAAGCTAAACTTGTCAAGAATTAAAATCAAACAAGTTTTAGATACAAGGGACTTAAATAAAATTAAATGTTTGAGGTTTTATATTCAAATTATGTTTAAGCTCAAGGACCAGTGTAAAGTGAGACTTTCATGCTTTCAAATAGCTCTAAACTTTGGAGGAGTGGGCTCACATGCTTTCTTGACAATGTCAAGTGTCGACAATAAATGAAATTGAATAGAGAACACTGAAAATCTGAGATTTTATTACTTTTTGTAGAGAAACTTCTACTACTTAGGGATAATAAGCTATTAATGATAGTTATCCTGATGAACTAATTCAATACTATCATGTACGTTGCTCTAACATGGATATGTTAACATGCGTGAAAAATAATATGGTCACTAGTAAGATATGTTGAAAAGATCAGGATGCAGATACAACATGGACGAGATGAATTGTCAGATATAGAACAATAGCATGCCATCATGGTAAAGCCCAAAGAATAGGTTATGCGATGGCAATGAAACACGGAAAAATATACATTTCTATAACTTTTATCATGAATAAAAACCTTTTATTTTAATAATTAAGTAGTATTTGATTTCAAAATAATAGGATAAGCATGTCTTGAAGTTCAACAAATATATACAGGCCTTGGTTTTTCTGGTTCTTAATGGAGGAAGTCAATGTATGGTTTTCTTCCATCCTAATACATTCATAAGTTATATATATTTTAGCACCTTTTATAAATATTATAGTTTAATAGTTCAATAATAATCCTTTATGAATATTATAGTTCAAAAATAATCCTTTTGTATAGGGCTTAATAGTTCTCAAAATTTGTCTTATAGAAAATTATGGTTTAATATCATGTTATTTAAAGGCTTAAAAATTATAGGAAGTTAACTGTATAAGCAATAGGGTCCAAGGACAACCAGTTTCAAGGACAGGGTTGCTGTTTGGGATTTTAAGCCCTCAAATAACATGAAGAGTCAAGGTTCAGCATCCTTTTAGGGATCTGATGATTTGATTGGAAATCTGTATCAATAGAAAAGTTGATAGCTCCTGCCTCTTAGGATGATCGCCATTATAGTTGCTTTGACCCCCTTCTGCATTAATAAGACATGTAGGTGAACTAGGTTAGAAGACAAGGAAGGGGAACTGAAGAGGTGAAAAGGAATTGATAAGTGAATTTGGAAGTTCTGAAATGATCTTTATATAAAATCGTCTTCTCAATACACTGAATATCACAGCTTTATGAAATATTTATTTCTTGTTCCATATCCTTTTATTTTACAACTTGTAGTTAATTCTTTTTTTCATCTATTTTTCCCAAATAATATCATATGCAGTTCTGTGGAGCTCAATGCTTCCCAAGCTCACACATTTGATTATTATGTTTGGGTAATTATGAATAACACTTATTTACTGGTAAAATATTTCCATCTGTAGCTCTTGGAACTGCATGTTGAATACTTCTAAGAAATGTATTATTCAGAAAGTTATCTGTCAATGAATTTGACAAATTTGATGTTCTTAATTCCTAACTGGTAATGGTTCTCTTGGGATTTCATTTAAAGATTGGCAGTGTCAGGCATTTGAGAGCAGTTGGGCATGTGCTCCTTTATGTGTTCTTCTGTCCTTCAAGCTTATTCTTTAATTAAAGTAGCATGGTATTTCCATGCAAACACAATCTCATTACTGTTGGTGAAGAAGTAATCAATGTCACTGGCAGGGGCGGGATGCTTGTTGGGGTGGTGGTAGGTGTTATATTTAGGTGTCCTTTTACATGTGGCTTCAATCACAAGATCGGTAGGTTGTGAGTTTTATTTTTTTTTCCTGCAACTCCTTGCGCACCCGCAACTGTTGTTAAGTTATTGGTCTGTCTCTTACTGTGACCTCCTTAACAATGTTGGTGTAATATTTGGGTGTCCTTTTCTGTGTGGCTTGTATTACAAGACTGGCAGCTCTCTCTCTCTCTCTCTCTCTCTCTCTCTCTCTCTCTCTCACTCTCATGCACAAACACATCCATTGTTAAGTTGTTCTATCTCCTTCAGTGACCTCCTTAACAATGTGATTTCTTACAGTTATTTTCTATAATTGTTTTTTCCTCATGAAGCTTTAGCTTTGAGAGTCAATTATTCATATAACTGGTATATCATGGATATCAGTATTCTGCTTCATATTAAGTGTAAATTCTATGTTGCTTAGGCTGTGCCGGTTGACGGGGAAGTTATTCAAGGGGCATCTACAGTAACCATTGAGCATTTGACTGGGGAGAGCAAGCCCCTAGAGAGAAAGGTGGGAGATACAATTCCAGGTGGTGCAAGAAACCTTGAAGGCATGCTGATTATCAAGGTTTGGTTTTCATTATGGGCAAGCAACCAATAGAAGTATTACTTCCATTTTCTATGCAGGCCAGTCAGCTTCTCATTCATATTCTATGTGCTTTTGTTTTTACTGTGTTTCTTGGGTGGACTGTTGATTTGTCTCTTTTAAAATATTTTTTTCTTGGGAAGTAGCTCTCTGTATCACTTTTAGAATTAGATTGTGCGAGTTGCATAACTATAGCTGAATTTTCTTCTGCAGTATGCTTTTTTCTTTTTGTTTCTTCTTCAGAATGTTTTTCTTTTTGTTTTGTTACATTGACATATAAACGATCTTCATTTCCATGAATGATGACTCAATTTGATAAAAAGACATAATATCATGTAAGCTTTTTCCCTGCGAAATGGGAACGTACTTAGTACACATATATTAGACATGATTCATATGGAACATATTACCTGATGTTTGACCCTTTTTATTGGGCTTAAATTAACCCAAAATAAAAGGAAAAGTCTTAAGAGGTTAGTTACATCCATAACATACCATGACAGGTCCTTTTTAAATTTAGCTAATATGATTGTGGGGTTTCCATGCAATTGTGACATACTTTAAATGAAAATTTTGCATCTAATTATTGTTCCTTATTTTGTTTACTTGACTTGCATCTCTTCTTCTTTTACTGTAAGATAAGAAATATGTAACGACTAATCTAACTTATATATATGTATATATAAGACACACATTTGTGTATATATATGTAGAGAAAAATGAGTATCGTTGTTATCAAGTACAAAATAGGTGCTTGGTAGTGAAAATGAGTATCCTTGGTATCAAGTACAAAATAGGTGCTTGGTAGTGACGTAGCCACTTCAATGCCCATTAAAAAATGGTTCCCACTTAATTACTCACCTATTAAGTGAGTGGATAAGAAGTTGCCACATCACTACCAAGGACCAATTTTGGTCCTTCGTACAAAGGATACCCATATTCCTTATATGTGTATGTGTATATATGTATGCATGTATATGTTTGTGTATGCATATGTACACATATAATAACTATTTCTATGTATTATGTATACACACACATTTTGTCGCATACCTAATATGTATATATATATATATATATATGCATCACACACTTTGGCCCCATTTGGCAACAGGTTAGTGGAGGGGTAAAGAGGGTTTAATCCCTCATTAACCTCCCAAACAACAAAAAGGGCCACTACCGAGCCTACTTAACCCTTAAATAGACATGTTTATAGTGTGAGGAGGCGGAATAAAAGTTACCCACACATGGGTAAACAATGGAATATCAAAAAAGATAAACGAAAGATCCTTTTATAGATGGAACAGATGGTAGTGGGTATATAAGACATATCCTTGAGTGGTTTGATTATAGCTCCTTCATATGTTGCCTTTTTTTTTACTTGGCTTCTACTTGATAGGAAAATTTTCTAAATTATTGCTTTATATTTTGTGTTTCTTTTGCATGTTTTGCTTCTACTTGGTTGAAATATCTTCTTACAAATATAATTTTCTTGTGCTATATTACCCAGTCCAGTTTATTTTTAAAAACGAAATTACCTCATCATTAAATAAATTTTAATTTTATGTGAAGATGAACTCCTTTGGAGAATTTGCTTCTAAGGCTAAGTTTTTGTACTTTTAAATTTATAGTGTTGCCATTATCTATATTTTACCAAAATTGAATTTTTATATAGTGTTATTGATCAAATTGTTACTTCTCTTCTTAACTATAGTCAATTTGTTGTAGAAATGACAATACTTTTATACTTCAGATGAATGTAGATACTAGTTGGACTACTCTTAATGCAATGCTTATTAACAAGTTTTTCTACTTTTAATAAGGCTAATGTTGACACCCTTTTAATAAAATAGGACTAACATACTTAGCACTTCTTTATTTGCCAAATACAGAAAAAGTTAATCCTTCAACTAGCTACTCCAAATAGAATTAAATTATTTTTAAGCCCTCATGAAGGGTTAACTAAGTTAACTCTTCTTCTTAACTTGTCTTTAACCCCTTGCCAAACGGCATCTTATGGCTGTCTTTTAGCCAAATGCTTCTTGCTTCTAGATTTGCAAAATCTCCATGCTTCTTTTAGATTTGCTAAATAAAATATTCAAATATGTATGTGTAAATGTGTATGTATGTCTATCACATGCATGTATGTGCACACATATATTTGAATATGTATGTATTAATATACATACATACATACATATGTATGTATGTATGTAATGTGTGTAATTATGTATGCATGTATGTATGTTGATACGGGTGTATCTTCTTCCTTGCTTCAGGAGCTTCAGGAGCTTAGCGATCCTCATAGAAGCTTGAGGATAGATGATTATCATAGTATCTTGAGAATAGAGATGTGAATGAAGTCGTTGAAGGCGGCAACGTCTAAGAGTATAAGAAAAACTGTAGGAAATACTTTGGACTTCCAGCGGTCGACCGCACGTGACACCGCGGTCGACCGCGAACGTGCACAGCTCAGGAAAAGTCTCTGGACATTTCTCGGTCGACCGCGATGGGTTCTGCGGTCGACCGCCAAACCCTGTAATCGATACTGAGTTTTTATCGTTCTGTTCGGTCGACCGTACGTGTCTCTGCGGTCGATTGCTAGTCGGGCTTGGCCAGACTTTCAGTTTTCTGTTCGCTTTAGGTTTTGTGTTTGATATATATTAAAACACGACTTTTCTAGGGTTTTCTAACCAGATTGATATTTAGAAACGAGATCAGGGAGATTGTTTTTTGATTTAGAGAGATTGTGAGAGAGGGATTTGTAATCTATTATTTCTCATAATCTAGAGAAGGTATTTTTCTTCGTCCAACTCAATTCTTTGTGTTTTTCTATTGTCTTCTTCATAACCTACTCTTGATAATTCCGCGATCAAGGGTGCTTGTTTAGTGACTCGTATCAAGTTGGTATCAAAGCGATTACATCCTGTGAAAGGGGGATCGTGTGTATAGTCCTTACTCGATCGCAATACAAGAAGCTAGATGAGATCCTTATTTTTTGGAAGGAGTTCTGAGATTAAGGAAGAAGATGACTGAAGGGGATAGTTCAGCGAGACTTGATACATTAGAGAAACATATAGAGACAATGGGTTCGACTCTCACACAACTCGTTAATCTTTGTTAAGAAAATGACAAAAAAGAGGAATCTTCTTCGAAAGACAAGAAGAAACTTAGAGAGTCCGATGGGGAGGGCGAGGAATTTGATTCTGATGAGGAGACCGAGATTGTCAAGACTGTTCCACATCAAGGGGGTAAGGGTTCTTATCAGAATTTAAAGATAGACTTTAAGATGGATATTCCTATTTATGATGGGAGTGTCAACATCGAGAGGCTCGACGATTAGATCGAGCGAAAGGAGACATATTTTACCTTCTACGGATATTCATCTAAGAAAAAACTCGTGCTCGCAACTTTGAAGCTTTCGGGGTATGCGCTGACATGGTGGAAATCTTATTACAAGTAGGAAAGGAAGATGGTGTCTTGGAACAAGCTTAAGGAACTACTGAGGAAGCAGTTTTACCCGGTAGGGTTCCTCTAGGAGCGTTGGTACAAGTGGTACGGATTGCGTCAAAGGTTCAATCAGATCGTTCAAGAGTATACGATGTAATTCCAGCAGCAGGTGATGGTCCTCAACATCGTGATGGAGGAATACTCTATTTTATGAAGTATATGACATGTCTAAATGAATATATCCGAAAAGAGATGAAACTGTTCACAGTGGAGTCAATTACAGAAGCGAGTGTGAAGGTCATTGCCATTAAGGGTAGGCAAAAAAAGGGCAACGAGACGAAGAGGAACTCCAAACAAACGGGAGGTAAGTCTAGTGGCTCTCAATCGAAGGAAGAGAAGAAGAAAGGTGATTCAGGAAAGACAGGATTGACATGCAATCACTGCAAACAGATGAGACACGTAGTTGATCGTTGCTGGGAGAAGTACCCTTATCTGAGACCGAAGGGATTGAAGAAAAAGGAGGAGAAGAAGGCATACATGGTAGCGTAAGGTCCAAAGGAAGTTCCCGGGATGACAAAATCTAATAGCAGTCTCAACCTTATGACGGGAAAACAGGCCACAGCAGAGGATGAAAACCCGAGGGAACAACTCTTTATTTTGAAGTTGCAGGTCAAGACCAGCTTGGTTGATGCCATAATGGATCCATGGAGCCAGAAAAATTTAATATCAGAAGCTTTGGTTTAGAAGCTAGGATTGAAGACGGTCAAACATCCGAAACCCTATCCTTTGTGGTGGATTCAGAAGGAGGCGTGATTGAGTGTGGTCAACCAGTGTACTTTCAGATTTGTACTCCACGAGTCGTATATTAACGAGGTCACATATGACGTCGTTCCGTTGGATGTTTGTCAAGTGATACTGGACAATCCTTATTTATGGGATAAGTACGCAGTTTACGATAGACGGGCCCAGAAATATACGTTCACTAAGGATGACGAGCAATTCATATTTCGTTCGGCATCTTTTTCACAAGAGATGGGTTTGGTGACGGTGATACAGGCGAAGAGGCTAGTGAATGCGAGCAAGAAGTTTGTATTGTTATTCATTAGACCTTATGAAGAGTAGCTGAGTAGGGTGTGCTTGACTACCTTGAGCAAGATTCAGGAGAGATCTTGACAGGTTAAAGGCTAAGTACGCGGACTTATTTTCGGAGATCACGGGACTACCACCATGACGGGGTGTGGAGCATGAAATTATGTTGATCGACGAGAGTTTCTTACCGAATATAGGTTTATACCTCACATCTGTACAAGAGTTTGAGGAGATCAAGAGGCAGGTTTAGGAGCTTTTAGAGATAGGAGTGATTGTGCCAAGTTGTTCACCTTATGGGTCTCCAGTATTATTGGTGCCTAAAAAGGATGGAGACTGACGCATGTGCGTGGATTACCGGGCGCTCAATAAGATAACCATCAAGAATCGCTACCCATTATCTTAGATTGATGATTTTATGAACTAGTTAGAGGGAGTGAGGTTCTTCACGAAGTTGGATTTAAAGTCTGGTTATCATCAGGTGAGGATTCAGGAGGATGACACTTGGAAGACTGCGTTCAAGATCAAGCAGGGTCTGTTCGAGTGGTTGGTGATGCTGTTTGGATTGTGCAACGTTCCGGCTACCTTTATGAGACTCATGAATGATTTGTTGTGACCTTTTATAGAGGATTTTGTGATAGTTTACCTCGATGATATCTTGGTGTATAACAGGACCTGGGAGGAGCATCTTGTTCATATCGAGAAGGTATTTGAAGTGTTGCAGAACGGACAACTGAATCTCAATGGGAAAAAGTACGAATTTGGGAAGGACGAGTTGGTGTATCTTGGCTTCATCGTGGGAAAAGGCCAACGGAAGATAGATTCAAGTAAGATGGCGGTGATCACGAAGTGGCCGATACCTAGGACAGTGACAGAGGTGAGAAGCTTCATGGGAGCTTGCCAGTATTTGCGTAAGTTCATTCGGTATTTTTTGACTTATGCAGTACCTTTGCATGGCCTTACGAAGGCGAATGTTCAGTTTGAGTGGGGGAGGAAGCATGAGGAAGCTTTTCAGTTACTAAAGAGGAAAATCTCGGAGGCACCGGTGTTGGCATTATCGAATTTGCAGAGGACCTTCGAGGTAGAGACCGACGCTTCTAGTTAACTATGGACGCTGTGTTGATGCAGGATGAGAAGCCGGTGGAGTACCATTCAGAGATGTTCACGGGTGCTATTCAGAACTATCCTACATATGACAAGGAGTTTTATGCACTTTATCAGGCAATCAAGCATTGACGGGTGTATTTGTTGAGAAAGGAGGTGGTTGTGCACTCGGATCACAAGCCATTAGAATTTTTATATGCCCAGGTGAAGCTGCAGCAGGCATGACACATGAAGTGGATGTCCTATTTGATGATGTTCAACATCATCATTAGGTACAAGAAGGGGACGACGAACAAGTTAGCCGATATGTTATCTCGTCTACCCGTGAGGGCTCTCTTGGTGGCGACACGTATTCAGCCATTGATTCCTTTGGAGTATGTACAGATGTACACATTCAGCAGAGACTTCAGCAGTGTGTTCGAGCAGGCGAAGGCTGGTCGAAGAGGGGAGTATGAGATTGGTGAAGATGGTTTGTTGTATCGTGGGACGTCGTTTTGCATTCCGAAAGATGACGACCGATTGCAGTGGATTCGAGAAGCACATACATCACGTGTGCATGGTCATTTTGGGATTCAGAAGACGCTTCTCAATCTACAACGTCATGTCTTTTGGTCAAAAATATTGGAGGATGTCACTAAGTATGTTAGAGAGTGTAAGTTATGTTGCATATCGAAGTCTTCTAATAGGAAACAAGGATTGTATCTACCATGCCCGATACCTTCGAGATCGTGAGAGAGTATTTCTATGGATTCTTTAGGAGGATTGCCGACGACCAAGCGCGGACATGATTATCTGTTCGTTATGGTGGACTGGTTCAGCAAGATGTCACCATCTTGATTCCTTGTAAGAAGACCGTAACAGGAGCGGGTGCAGCGTAATTGTTCTTTGAGCATGTGTGAAAGCACTTTGGGTTGCCGAATTCGATTATTTCAGATCGAGATAACCGATTTCTCGGACACTTTTAGGATTCTTTGTGGAGCTTGATGGACACTTGATTGAAGAAGAACACGATCTTTCATCCACAAACAGACAAACAAACAGAGGTAGTTAATCGGACTATGGTATACATATTGAGAGGATACAATTCTAGGCATCCCAAGACTTGGGATGAGAGCTTACCATATCTTCAGTTTGTATTTAATCGGGCTATTCATGGATCTTCGGGGAAGTCATCATTTGAGACTTGTTATGGGTTTTTACCTCTTAGTCCGTTCGATCTCGTATTTTCTAGTGAAGCTACGGCCGACGACAAGGAAGAGAGTGAAAAACAACGAGCTCAACGATTTATGGAGAAGATTGCACATATTCATGCCACGGTGGAAGCTCAATTGAAGAAATCACAGGCTAAGTACAAGGCGAAACATGTTCAATATCGAGTTCCTTGTAATTTTGGTAAATGTGATATGGTGTGGTTGAAGTTGAGTAAGGAGCGGCTAAAGGGAGAAGGGAAGAAATTGAAGCCTATACGATATGGTCCGTTTCAGATTGTTGATAAAATTGGTGACAACGCCTTCAAGCTGGATTTGTCACCTTATCTAGGCATGTATTCGGTGATCAACGTCGAGTATTTGAAGTTGTTTGAGCCTTCATTGTTGGATGATGAAGGTGATGACAAGATGATCTTACCGCATGTTGACGACCTGTGGTTTGATAGAGAAGAACCGCTTAAAGAAGATTGCATTTTGGAACGAAAGGTGATTACGATGAGACGCAGGACGAATGGGTCGTTTTTGATCGGACGTCAAGGTCAGGTTTCTAGCAAAACCAGGTGGTTCAACAGAGAAGGAGGGGCTCGCGAGTTCCCTCAGCTACAGTTCTAACTTGAATGGAACTTCAAGTTCCTAAAAGGGGGAGCCATGATACGGGTGTATATTCTTTCTTGCTTCAGGAACTTAGCGATCCTCATAGAAGATTGAGGATATATAATTCTCATAGTATCTTGAGAATAGAGACGTGAATGAAGTCGTTGAAGGCGATAACATCTAAGAGTACAGGAAAAACTGCAGGAAACACTTTAGACTTCCAGCGGTCGACCGTATGTAACGTCGCGGTCGATCGAGAACGTGCACAGCTCAGGAAAAGTCTCTGGACTTTTCGCGGTTGACCGCGATGGGTTCTGCGGTCGACCGCCAAACCCAATATTCGATACTGAGTTTCTGTCGTTCTATCCGGTCGACCGCACATGTCTCTGCGGTTGACCGCGAGTCGGGCTGGGCCAGACTTCCAGTTTCCTGTTCGCGTTAGGTTTTGTGTTTGATATATATTAAAACACGATTTTTCAAGGGTTTTCTAACCAGATTGGTAGTTAAACGAGATCAGGGAGATTATTCTTTAATCTAGAGACGAGATCAGGGAGATTGTTCTTTGATCTAGAGAGATTGTGAGAGAGGGATTTGTAATCTATTATTTCTCATAATCTAGAAAAAGTATTTTCCTTCGCCCAACTCAATTCTGTGTGTTTTTTCTATTGTCTTCTTCACAACTCACTCTTGGTAGTTCCGCGATCAAGGATGCTCGTTCAGTGACTCGTATCATATGTACACATGCATATACGTATATACATATAATTTTGTATATACATAGTGAAAATGAATACCTTTGGTACCCAGGATAAAATGGTCCTTGGTAGTGATATGATCACTTCTCAGCAAGGTTTTAAATGTCGGTTATCGGGGATTTATCGGATGGTCAAAATCCTTATCGGATAGCGGAAATCGGGGATATATCGGGGATAAGTAGTATTTATCGGAGTAATATACTAGCAAATAATAAACAAACATAAGCTTGAAAAAAAATATAATGTTAGTCAAAATGGAATAATAAACAAGCAAATAATAAGATAACATCAAGAATGAAGAACCATCTACGCATCTACATAATTATTGTTTAATCATGAGATTTATAAACTAACTTACTAAGTTGATATTTAGTAGTTATGAGCCATTATCAATATCCATAAACAAACATTAGCCAATTACCAATCAACCAAGTTCCAAAAGCAACAAATATCTCATAATTTGTAAACATTCAAAGAGCAAATTCAAAAGAAAGTAAAAGCTCCCAAATCCTACTTATCGGTCGATAAAGCCGATATTTAGAGCCTACTTATCGGCCGATAAGTGCCTTTATCGCCAATAACTCGCTGAGAAACTTCAAAAAACGATAACCGATTAAAAATCCTACTTATCCTAGCGGAAAGCTCCCAAATCCGATAACTCGGCGATAATATCGGATTATCGGCCGATATTTAAAACCATGCTTCTCAGCCACACAATTAAAGATGTCCACGTAAAAGTGGTCCCCACTTGATTACACATCCATTAAATGAGTAGATTAGAAGTGACCAGCTCACTACCAGGGACCATACTTGGTCTTTGGTGCCAGGGATACCCATATTCCTCATATACATATGTATATATGTTTGTATGTATATGTATTACATATGCATGTACTATATATTATGCATACACATAAGGCTGTTTTTTGACCAATATTTCCCACTTCTAGATTTGCAAAAATTGGCTTATGAAAATATATAAGATGTTCACATCTGATCAAGCCTTTTTTTCTTGTCCTAGGCAAGAAAGACGTGGAAAGATTCTACCTTGAGCAAAATTGTGCAGTTGACTGAAGAAGGGCAGTTAAATAAGCCTAAGCTGCAAAGATGGTTAGATGAATTTGGTGAACATTATAGCAAGGTTGTTGTAGCTCTATCCTTGTCTGTCGCTTTCGTCGGACCATTTCTTTTCAAATGGCCCTTTATCGGCAACTCAGGTATTTACTTGCTCAAAACTATTATTCTCTTATCTTTTTTGTATGCCTTCTTCTTGGCTTGTGTACCATCTAGTTGAGTTAATCGTTAGTCTTGGTTAATATTTTAATTAGAATTATTAGTCGTACAATTATGGGAGATGATTTGAATGTGACAGTGTCTCTAAGGAGTATGCCATGCCTTTTACAATCACAAGATAACTTATTGATATTCTGAAGCAAAATGTGTTTGTTCACATATATTGTCTTGGCTCAAATATTCTTGTTAAAGTATAGTTAGGTTCTCCTTCAACGATATGTGACATGCTTATATTTCTATATGTCAATTTAGTATTGAAGATGTTGAGGAGGTTATATTTGTATGCTTCAGATAACATTCATTTCTAAGTTATGTTGGGTTGACAAAACTTGTAATCTATGCACCAACAACTTGTAATTACAGTAAACTTATCATGTTTTTAACTTATGAAAGAAGTTTAAAGCAATGTTGCAAATAATGATTACGCATAACATAACGCTCATCTCCTGATACTGTAAAGCACAAAATAATTCTTGTTACATGTTTTATTATTTATTTAAATACTTAATAAATAAAAAAATATTCACAATAATTTAGATAATTACGGTCATCAAAATCACAATTATCAAATATATCATCACAGTTAGAAACCAATCCTAAAGCACATGTCATTCAAGTCACATAATGACGTCACCAGAAGAAGCATGGAGGCTTAACAACCAATTCAAAGGTAAATTTTAAGATTCCTCCAAGGTGCTGAAATTATAAGGCTGTCTACCTTATAACTGCTTTGTAGGATTTTCAAAAGTCCTCCACTGCCAATAGTCTTCACTGGTAGTAGTTCAGCATATACAGTGTTGCTCTCTGATTGACAATTTATATGTTTACTAAAGTTACTGGGTTTACCAATGTTCATTTCTACAGCAACCAATAACCTAATATGTTAAAAAGCATAGCAACATAGAATAAAAAGGGCGTCTAGGCTGGTGGTATGTTGCCTATATTATATTTTGTAGGTTAGTGGACCGACTCCACTCTGCTTTAATTTTTTTTTTCTATGAAACTAAAGTTCTGCAATTAGTTTCTTTAAATCTTTAATATTTTGAATTAGTCCCTCATTTCATTGAAATTGCTACTAGGTCCATCAATTCCCTAAGCTATTTTGAAATCAATATCTTAAATCATTAAAGTTGCTATTAGGTCTTCTACTTCTTAAGTTATTAGAAATAGCAACTAGAGAAAATTAGTCACTTTCTTTCTTTAAAAAACTTTTTTTGAAGGGTTTTCTATTATCGCTTAAATCTTTCATATTTTGAAATTAGTCTCTCCAAATCATTAAAATTTCCATTAGGTCTCCTATTCTTAAGTTATTTTGAAAATTTTTCTTCAATCAAGAGTAGAAATAGCTATTAGAGGGAAATTAGTCTCTCAAATCCTTTTTTATTTTATATTATTCGTTTTAATAAAGAGTCACAAATAGCATTTAGAGAGAAATTAATTTCTTTCAATTTTTTTTTTGTTTTCTTCTATTAAACCCTAAGCTTTACCCCCCAATTATTAATGGGGGTTTCCATTGGTTCCTTAATTCTTTCATATTTTGAAATTAATCCATCAAATCATTGAAATTGCTACTAAGTCCTTCAATTCCATACATTATTTTGAAATTAGTCCCTCAAATCATTGAAAATGCCATTAGGTTCCCAAATTCTTATGGTATTTTGAAATTTGTCTGTTCAGTCAAGTGTAGAAATAGCTATCAGAGGAAAATTAGTTTCTCCAATCCTTATTAATTTTAAATCCTTCAATAAAGAGTAAAAATAGCAATTAGAGGAAATTAGAGTAAAATCTCTCTCAGACCCAAAATGTTTGATCAGATTATTTTTAAATCCAATTTGTATTTTAACAGTTTGATATATAGTGTAAGTTGTTTATTTGTTATTGTAACTTTGCTATATTTGTTTTAAGTAATTATATACATGATATATTTTTAAGTCAAATAATTAAATTATTGTATTTTTTTTCCACAAAAATGCCGCAGCAACACACGGGTTAATTTTGCTCGTTTTTTAAAGTTGTTTAATCTTTCTGAGGAGCTTTACGCTCCATGCTTAACCCCTATCACTATGAAAAATGTTTAGAGGATAATGATGTGATCGACCTATGAGACTTCAACTTCCTTTATGACAGGCTTTTGTTTAATTGTATGTTTCTCGTTGCATTCACCTTCCAAGTGTATTTCCTGTGGCCGGGTCAACTCTGAGGCCCTTTGTTCATACTTTATCTTCCTTCTTGGGATGGCATGTACAATTTTAAAAGAGGAATGCTTGATAATCCTAAATAATGATTTTATTGCAACCACGCATAAACCCATCCTCAAACATGAAACTGTATGTTGATATCTGGTTCCATGTAAAAAATGGTAAAGCAATGTTTAATTTTAAAAGAGGAATGCTTGATAATCCAAAGTAATGATTTTATTGCAACCACACATGAACCCATCCTCAAACATGAACCTTTATGTTGATATCTGGTTCCATGTAAAAAATGGTAAAACAATGTTTCTACCTTGAGGTGTAGACGTGTAGTCACAACTCACATTTTATTGACTACAAGTCAAGTGACTCTCGGGTCAAAATTCGTTGTCCGATGGATTTTACATAAGTTTGTAGTCAATAATTATCTTTACAGACATTGTCGATTATCCCTCCTAATGGATCCTTAGTAAGACATTATGATGATAGTTGTGTTAATAGCAGCACCTAACACATGTACGCCACACAAAATTATGTTGATAGTTGTGTTAATAGCAGCACTTACATTTGGTAGTCAATAATTTTCTTTACGGGCATTGTCGACTATCCCTCCAAATGGCTCCTCAGTAAGAAATCACAAAATTATGTTGATTGTCGTATTAATAACAGCACTTAACACATGTCTACCACATATAATATTTCATGTAAGAGGTTGCTTAAGTTCTTCATGTTAATCTCTTATACCATTTTCTGAGACAAAATGGACATAAATCAAAAATTTAAATTATGTAGGACGTAAACTTAAACATCAAACTTAACAATAATCACTTCAGTTTGGAAATATTTTCCAAGTTATGTGAAACCATTTAAACTTTGTACTGAATTCCATAAGTTTCTATTAGCATTAATATTATTACTATTAGTTTTGTTGTTAATATTGTTATTGGTAGCATTCAGGAACATACTATGGAAAAGGTGTAGGTAGCTAGAGAATCTCTTTTTTATGTTAAATGAAAACTATACTTTGTACTCTTGCACACAATAGACATGTGAGCACCCAGACACTCCTACATCCTCACATGCATGCTGCCTTTCACACAAGGGTATAACGTGGACTCTGGGAAGTATTATTCTTTTGTTCTTCAAATTTTTATGTGAAACAATATATGTCACTATCTTATATTCTTATGAAATGCATCATGTATCTTATGGTTTCTCACAGCACACTGGAAAATTTACTTATCTTAATATGTGCACATTGGGTTAAATTATCTTATGGTACACTGTATCTGCAGTACAAATTGCACATCTTTTAACGCACTAAATCCTACAATAGATTGACTCAAATTAGATGTTGTTCAAAGAGGCATTTAATTCCAAGTACGAGAATTAATTATGAGTTATATGTTTTAAAATGGGTGGCTTTTTTACAAAATAAGAAAGAACAATTCACCTCCATGTTACCCAATTTCGTGATTAGAAATAGGTAAGACTCTCATCTTGCTTGGTTATAACTACAACTCTACAAAACACAATCAATCACTAAACCCCCCTTTTGAGCTCACGATTTTAAATCCTTGTTTATGAATCCATCTAGCTGCTAGAAAACATGGTAAGTTAATTACAAATCTATGATAAGCATTTTTCACTTTTTTTAACCTCTATGTTGGATTTTGTAAATGGAAGAAAACGTCTTGTATCATTCTTCTATTTGTATTTTCAAGTTTTGCTTCCGGATGAGTAGCATTTTGTTTCCTCATGGATGAATAGTAGATTTTAGTCTTTGGTTTGTTTGAATAAGCAGTAAACATGGTGTACATTGATCAAGATGGTACATTGAACCCTCTTCTATTTATTTTCTTTGTTTGTTAACTTTCCAATAGGAAGTATCACATGTTAAGTTTAATATGACTTAAATTTCTGGTTTCATTTCTTGGTTGATACCCTTGATGATCATCAGACTTATATAATTACTATATTAGTGTATACCTTATATAATTAAAAATGAAAAAATGTAATCTGGATACGAACGTGAGACTTCCCACTATGCAACCTGCTCCTTTACCACCCAAGCCAGGTCTGAAGGGATGTTTTTCTCATGTTGAAATTTATTGCAGCAATAGATGTCCCATCTTATGTTTTTCTCTGTCCATATTTTTATTTATTTTTGTGGTCATCTTATTTGCTTATCTCATATTTATTCTTCAATCAGTTTAAATTCAATGATTTACATGGTTGCCATTCATGTTGAGACCATATATCATTTATGCTGGTTGCCAGCTTTAAATTTATCTCCACGATGTAAAGTTGTTAGTTGTATACTTTCGTACATAACTATTTGCACATAAAAAAAGTATATCATGGTACACAATACAATGTGACGCAGAATACGTCAAACAAGAAAACAATACACGATTCACATCTCAATTGAAAACTTTGTTTATTTCTTTATCAGGTACACATTCATCTCGCATATCTCAATTTGGCAACTTTGTTTATTTGTTTTATCAGATATACATTATGTTAAGATGAACATATTCTTGTACTTCTGCTACTTGACGATTACTTACATGAATTCACTGTAGTTTCCAGGGGCTCTATTTACCGTGCTTTGGGGCTTATGGTTGCAGCATCTCCCTGTGCATTAGCTGTGGCACCTTTAGCATATGCCACTGCAATAAGTTCATGTGCAAGTAAGGTATTGTTTGCATATTGCCAGTAATGAATTTGAACTGTATCAAAAGAACGTGATTTTTAGATTTTATAGTTTATTCATCTGTGTTTTTTTAAGTTCTAACAAGAAAATAATGCGATTTCTAGTTTCTAAATGTGATATGAAAATTTGAGTGATATCTCTTGAAATTCACGCTTGATGCTTAAAATTTGCTATGCCTTTTAGATATCCTCGCAAAATAAGTATGTGCAGAGGGAATAGAGATGTACTCTAATTTCTAGTATAATATATACAAGTATCCGAACTTTTTTATCATCCTTGTTCTTTTTTTAATACGGAACTTCGTTTTATCGTCCTCATCGACCAGTAGCAAGGAACCATGTGACTTTTGGTATGATACACCTTTCAGTCAGCCTATATCGGTATAAAATTCAGGTTATAATCCTGATAAGGATTGGGCTGATGATTAAGTTTTTGCATTTAGTGCATCTATATTAGTTGAAAGGAAGGATAAAATTGTCATTTTTACTGAGCAGCCATAAATATATGATATTACATTGATTCCATTTTCTAGTGATGTAGGGTTTACGACTATCAGCTTTAGGCCCCATGTCCATGCTATTGTGAAAGGGCTTGCTGAACGATTATTTCCTGTCCATTAAATCTTACATTTCGTTTGTATTTGTTAAAGATTTCGCTGTTGTCATGTGAGTCGGAGATAATAATAATATTGATTTTCATTTACCATACTTTGGTAAATGTCTTATGAGGACGTTATTTCTAGTTTTTCATGCATTTAAAGTTTTAATGGATGTTTATTGGGATTGTATGTTTGTAGGGGCCAGGAAATGTTTTCCGGGATGCCTGGTGGCTGATCGTGGTTTTCTTGATAATGTTGAGCATATTTGAGTTTTAAGGGTTGGCATTGGGTCTGAAAGATTACTTGTCAGGGAAATAACATCAAAAGTTCCACTTTAGGATCTAAATTATTTAGGGTGGTTGTCATTGAGTACCGTGTTTTTTTTCGGATGGAAATTGATTGACTGAATTCTCAGTCCAGGAGATTTGCAACAAGTTGAATCATCTGAGAATGTTTTGATAGCTGCGAAACAAGTTGGATTATCTAGGAATATTTTGATAGCTGGAAAAACAGGAGCTGAAATTGAAAGAATGAAGAGTGCAAGAGGTTTTCTTGAAAAAGGTTGCAGCGATGTACTTAGACAAATATTCAGCAGAAGTAACTACGCTGCTTCTTAAACTAGAAAATAAAATAAGTATTGTAAAACTATATATTGAGTGATCTATAGTCAATCTAGGACTCCTATTATATCGAAAGCAATCCCACCTAATTATTAAAAAAGTACAAAAGGGACTAAATTATTTTACAGCTTTCACAATTTTCTACTCTGGACAGGACTCCTAGGGCCTGAAGATGCAATTAGTTAGTGGGTTTTGCATCTTACTCCAGAGAGGACATTATTAGTCTTCTTTCTCTAAAAGGAAAGAAACTACATAAACACACACACTCGCATCTAGTAGTAGGAGTTATCTGTATGCCCAATATGCTATGAGGGTATGCATGTAATTTGCTTTTTTTAACCTTGTTGTTGGCAATATCTATATATATATTATATTATATATATATATATATTATATTATATATACTATATATATATATATGATTTTTTTGCGGTTGGAAATCGATTGTCTGGGGCTCAGAAAGCAATTTTCTTGCAGAATTAGCCCTATTTTGTAGATCTTGTTTGTATTATGTTGAGCAGTATATTGTATACTGTAGTTTGTTATTAAGAGTTCTTCGTAGGTTTTATTCAGTACTTGCCTTTGGTGTCAATTTAATAGGTTTCATTCAGTTCTATAGTTTTGGCATCATTTTAGATAGTAAAGGTCATGGCGTGATGTGAAAATGAGCTTATTTGTGTGTATGCACAGATGATTTCCTTCTAATAAATTCATGATTAGATGACAGAATTATTTGTTTGCATTTTGAGAATTATAGCAAAATTATATTTCTTGTTGTGCAGATTTTCATGAGCGTATTCATGATTTCTTGTTGGTCATCTCTGCAGGGAATTTTGCTAAAGGGTGGCCACGTGTTAGATGCCCTTGCGGCTTGTCAGACCATTGCATTTGATAAGACTGGTACATTGACAACCGGGAATCTTATGTGTAGAGCAATCGAGCCCATTCATGGACACTTGGAACAAGGAGTTCAATCTTGTTGTATTCCGAACTGTGAAAACGAAGCTTTAGCTGTAGCTGCAGCCATGGAAAAAGGGACCACTCATCCTATTGGAAGGTAAAGAAATCTTAATACCCTAGTCCATCCTTATTCTTACTTTGGGTAAATTTTGTGGCAAAAAAAATTAGCGTTGTTTTATCTGCTAACTTCTATGTTCATACAACTTTTGCTTCAAACTTGCCAGTAATATAAAGTAGCTGAATCTGCATGCAGAGAAGAGAAAGAAAGTTTGTCCTGAATAGCTCATTGTTTATCGATGTATTGGGTTTGAGATCATCAAAGCATAGCACTCCTTTTACATTTGAGCTTGAACTTCTTGATTCAATTAGTTAAATATCACTGATAGATCTTACCAAAGTGCACTGTTCACCGATCTAAGTAACAGGTCGGAGTGGGCAGAAGACAGTGCAAAATGATGCAGAACTTCGCACAATAGTATCAGGATAGATAAAAGAAAGGCTTGACTTTGTCTATGAAATAACCATCTTCTAATATAATTTAAATCTGATATTTAAAAACTGAAGAAGAACAATAAAGATGACTTTACCATCCTTGATTTGTTAATCATACAATAAGATGAGAATTTTTTCAGAAGTTTTGATTCCGAAGTTTGAGCTGCCTACTTGGAATTTGGAAACTTTATAGAACAGATTAATGTAATTTAGAGATTGTTTCAATTGGAGTCTTCAATAGACATCATTCTGCACCTTCGCCAATTCATTGGAAAAACAAAACGTTAACCTGATAAATTGTACTCCATCTTGGGTTATGCCCAGTCAGAAGGGAATTTAGATTAATTTTTTGACGTCAGTCTACTGATGCCAACTTGCAATAGTCAAACTACCACCTTAATGTTACATGTGAGATCACCATAATCATCAATAACACTGTCTTAAGATTTTTTTCCATCCAGACAACATCCTCTGTGAAGCACGATGCTTTACGAGAGATTCTATAACAATTTATGATCTGTTCAACCACGCAACCCTCATAATCGCGGGGGGGGGGGGGGGGGGGTGATTTCTTTGTCAGCTGCAGCTAGAAGGAGTGGGCTTATACTCAATCATAGATGGCTAGATTCAATATTTTCAGACTGAATGACACCTTTCTTGAATTATTGGAAGGATTCGTCTGAGTCCTTTAGGAAGTTGCCAAGTGTATATATCTATGTATATGGTTAGACTACAAACTTTCTAACCAAAGTAAAAAGTGGTAGAATTCCATCACATCAACACCTTCCCCCCCCCCCCCCCCCCCCACGCACACTCGTATATGTATGTACACATGTGTGTGTAGGTCAAGGTTATATTGACATGGAATGTTCACAAATATCTAAAAAAAAATGATCGGCATGCATATATCATGAATCATGATCTAATCTGGTTGTTTTCATTTTTTGATATTCTGCAATCCATGTGAATCAAAATTTGAGTCTACTCAAAAACTCTCACCTGCTAATTAAGCAAATAAAAGGAAAAAAAATTGGAAAAGTGCATGCATTTTTATCTGGTTCATTTCTCTGAATGTGAATTTCGTTTTCCCCCCTTATTTAAAATGTTTGTTTTTGTAGAATACCTCTTTCTGCATGATTTATACCTACACTTATGTAGGTATAAGATATTTATCCATTCCAGCAGAGGTTATAAGACGGACATTGAATAACAACTCCTTGTTGGCTGTTACTATGTTTGCATATAAAGTAAAACCAATCACTTAGAAGTTGTGCTTCTGTGATTAATTTAGTGAACTTGTTAGCTTGGGCAACCTATCCTAGGAGTGCCATATGTTTGATGTTTCATTTGCATTTATGTGAGCATTTATGTGACCTTTTTTTTTCTTTATTCTGGTACTTGTAATTTTGCAGAGCTGTTGTAGATCATAGCCTTGGGAAAGAACTGCCTACTGTTTCGATTGAAAGCTTTGAGTGTCTTCCTGGTAGAGGTCTTTTGGCAACGCTCTCTGGATTTGAGGTCAGTTAAGATTACATATTTCCAAACTTGCATCTGATCTTGTATTGTTTGGAACTCTTTATGGTCTGCATGAACTCATATTTCCATAGAAATGGTTGAGCATATGATGATGAGTGGTTATTTTTCTTGATATGATCTCTGTACATTTTCTGGAAGATAGATGAAAGTTGGACAATTCCAGTTGGCATTACGGTTTTAATATAAGTGACGTTGATTACTTGTACTTATGTTATCTCATTCATTTTTTGTCAGTTAGTTTATTTGGTGAATTCATTTCATTCATGGCCTTTTTGAATTATTTTTACAGTTAAGTAGCTTTAGGTCTTACCTTTCAGTTGCTGCCTAATTCCTTCACTAACTCTGCTTTTAAAGATGGCTGGTCCTTCAGACAATAGGTATTCCTATTATTCCTTTAGTCTCATTTTTCCAGGGAATAATCCTCAAAGTTCCCTATATTGACCCCTATATGAAGATTGCAAACCATAGGAAATTGCATTTATCTTTATGGCATAAAATAAGTCAAAACAACCAATTGGAATCACATTCCCAAATTTCCTTGAATGGTGTTCGGCATTATTTATATGTAAGTGCTCCTGTCTCTTCTATCATGTTTGGATGGAGGGGAAGATGGGAGAAGGTAAGGTAGGGGAAACTATTCATCTGTTTGAGAGTTCTTTGAGGGACAAAGTGCCCCCCACCCCGTCCAAACAACAAAAAAAAAAAAAAAAAAAAAAAAAAAAAAAAAAAAAAAAAAAAAAAAAAAAAAAAAAAAAAGAAAGAAAGAAAGAAAAAATAGAGAAAAATATAAAAAAAGAGTACCATAATGAAATCCTAAACACATTGCTAAAGAAAGTGTGCTCTTCTTCACAAAGTAGGTTTTTAATGTCAATTGAAAAAGACTTTGAAAGCAAAAACCAAAAAGCTTCATCTGTAGAAGCTAAAATTTTTTCCTTCCCTTAACAGTAGACACAGAAGCGTACCCATTAATGAGACTATTTGAATTATTTGAACTAATCTTCTCTAGGTCTTTTCACCCCTCTATTATTTCTCAAACTCCTGAAAAATTTATTTCAGATATATATATGTTTTTTTAATAAGTACTAAAGTTCGGAAAGTATTGAGTAACTTAATTATATGAAAAAAATTCTGTAAAAAACAATTATCAGTAGACAAAAACAACTAATATATCCCTCATTTTTACCCCTTCATTTGGATTTTTCAGCATGTAGTCTTAAAGATCATTATGTTTGTCTATTTGTTTAATTGGGTTATCTGACAGAATGGATCCTTTGTAAATTTCTATGGAGTAAGTATCATGTTTGGTTACTTTCAAAACTTAAAAGGAACACTTTGCTTGCAGAAGTTAGTGTACTATTTTTAATCTTAGAATATCTGCCAGATATTTTAGAGTTTATGTCTATGACTAAAGGATAAAAAGTAAATGATTTAGATGTTTTAGAAGCTTAACTTGTCTATTGAATTGAATATAATTACAGAACTAAAGTCACTTTTTTTTTATTTTTTCCTAAATTCCTATCAGCATAATGAATGTTTTGTCTTTTCATTTTCTTTAGAGATATATAAGCTTGCTAAGATGAGAGAAAGAAAGAGTAGGGACTTGGGTAATATTAAATGTATCAAGAGTGGATCAAAGAGTTCTAGTATTCGGGAAGGAAATGAATTAGAGGTGGAGTTACTTTGATAAATTGTTTATTGATGATCAAATAGGTGAACAACATAGAGATTTAGACTATACAGTGCACGATAGAAACTATAGATGTTGGGAAAGTAGGATTAATGAGGTTAAAAATGTTCTAAAGTAAATGACAAGTGAAAGAGCCGTGGGACTGGACAATATCTCTATTGAAGTTTGGAAATGTCCTAGAGATATAGATTTAGGATGGTTGACTAAATTATTTAATAAAATTATTGAGAAAAAGAAAATGCCTGATGAGTGGAGAATTAATACTTTGGTCCAATATATAAGAATAAAGGATATATAAAGTTGTTCAAACTATCGCCGTATTAATCTCATGAGCTATGTTACACCAGTACGGGTATGGGTTCGGGTATGGAACACGACAAATTTGTAAAAGATAGGGTATGAGAACACGACTGAAGCTTATGGTATATAACTATAGTTTTGAGCTATATATGTAAATGACCCTTTTAAATCGTAGTTCTTAAGACTGAAATGAACCTAATCCTTATCGTAGTTCTGAGCTATGGAAGTGAAGTGTGGATATGTATCCACAAAGTGTATGATGTGTGTTTTAAATTAAACATGCATAGTCTGATTAGTACATGTCCGAATAAATATATACATACATTTAAGGAGTGTCCAAGAAGTGTCGGGTGTGGGTATAGGTACGACACACATCGGATACATGTACGGCTCCACATTGGAAGCACCCAGGTAATATAGCTCATGAGTTATACAATGATTTTGGGAGAGGATAATTGAGCAAAGACTAAAAAAGGAGACAAGTGTATTTGAAAACTAATTTGGTTTTATGCCGAGGAGGTCAACTATAGAACATATTTATATATTGAGAGAGATAGAGAGGAGAGAATCTACATATGGTTTTTATTGATCTAGAAAAACCTTATGATAAGAGTGCATAGAGGTAATGTGGTGAATTTAGAGAAGAAACACGTATCTTATATCTTTATATATATATATATATATATACTATATATATATATATATTATATTATATATATATATATATGAGAAAAATGGTATGTTTGGCTACCAAGCATAAAAATTTATGCTTGGTAGTGAGGTGACATAATTCCATCATTCATTCAGAATGTCTTGTATATCCCCATGCACTGCTCAACCCATGTGAATATGATCCCCCATTTGAATGAGTGAAGGGGATTTGTGCCACCTCACTACCAAGCCACAAAATTTATGCTTCGGTACCAAAATACCCATATTTCTCTCTCTCTCTCTCTCTCTCTCTCTATATATCATATATATATATATATATATAATATATTATATATATATATATATATAGCGATGCTGATAAATGTATGTATGAAAAAGTAACAATTAAAGTAAGAACAAATGAATGAGAGATTAAATCATTTCCTATACCTTAGGTTTGCATCATGGATGCACCGGCTATGAACCAATTTACTAGGCATATTCAGGATGAACTATGAAGTCCTATGGTATATATTATTTGCTGATAATATAGTAATAGTTGATGAGACTAGAGAAGGATAATTTCTAAAGTAGAACCTACAATATATATAGATGGTCAATAAATATCCAAAAGTAATCACTTTCATTATTTAGGATTAATAATTCCTAATGATAGTGAGATTGAGGATGATGTTCCTCGAATCAAATCTGGATGGTTAAAACGGAGGAGTGCTTTCGGAATCTTATGTGATTGTAGAATACCAATGAGATTAGAATAAAATTTTTATAGAACGGTTATAAGACCAATAATGCTTTATGGATTAGAATCAAGGTTTTAAATGTCGGCCGACATATCGGTTTGAGGGCTTGACCGACACGACATAGATGTTTTCAACTCGTATGTCGGTTATCAGGGCCAAATCGAAAATATCAGGGTCATATCGGCCTATTTTTTAGCTTTGAAAAATCGGCTGATATGATACTTTTTTTTAAGATCTGTTTTTTGTTATCGGGTTTGGGTTTAGTGATAAATACCCAAACATGTTTGACCCGTTCTCATGTTTAAGGGTTTCTTATGAACCCGATTGAAAGAATTTATGAACCCAAATCCATATATTATTTACTTTTTTATATGTTTAGTCTATAGAATTTATAAAGTATGCTTATATTAAATTTATGAATGCTTAGATTACATTTAGGACATGATATTATACATATGTGCACTACCCGATATGGCAATCCGATATTTAGTCAATGTCCCCCGATATATCCCCGATTTTCGCTATCCGACATGGATTTTAGCCATCCGACATGAACCCGACATCCGATATTTAAAACCTTGATTAGAATGTTGGGCAATTAAAGAACATGTTCAGAATATGAATGTAACAAAAAAGATAATGTTAGGATGGTCATGTGGGTATACCGTAAAAGATAGGATAAGAAATAAGTGCATCCATAGTAAATTAGAGATTGCACCGGTTAGAAAAAATAAAAATATTATATGCAACAGAGACCTCTTAATGCACCGGTTAGAAAAAATGATAATATTATAGTTAATAGGGTAAAAAGATCTAGTGGTAGATCTAAGAGAATTTGGTTAGAAGCAATTAAAAAAGGATGTGATAATAGTTAACTTAACGGAGGAGATGAGCCAAAAATCGAATGGAATGAAAGAATATGATTCATGTAGTTGACCTGAAACAACTGGGATAAAAACTTTGTTGTTATTGTTGTATAATGAATGTTATGTCTTTTCGTGAAATAACCGTACATTATGCATACCTCATCTATTTTCTTGTTGAAAATCTAATGAGAATGTATATGTCAAATGATTTTTCTCATTCAAAAATTGGAGGGTTTTTATTACAGAAGCCAGTGTTGAGTACTATTTCTTCTCTCATAACAACCAATTTCATGTTATTTTCTAGCTTCCCCACAAGGGAAGCTTGCCCAGCTATTTTTGCACTAATTATGTTCTTCCTTCCTGAAATATTAGTGATTACATATCCAAGAATAACCATGAAAGAGAATCCTATTGTCTATTTCTGATTAAGTTTCTTTTATTTATATTTGTGTTTTCCAACTTGGAACACTTTTTCCAATGAAATATATATTGCTTGTTTCAGTTGATGCCTTTATAGTATAGATTATCCTTTATTAGATGTCTACCCTATTGTCCTGCATGCATGAAGGTGCTGGTCATCTTGAATCCTACCTGTACATGTACATGCATTGCCACTACGTAGTTGTAGGTCAAATTCATTTTTATATGTCAATCAAATATACTCCATTGCACCTCCATCGTGTTAGACGCTATTTTCTTGCTATATATTAATAAAACATTTCTGTACTTGCCTCAGATCCAAAGGCAAAGTGTTCGACTTTATTACTGACACCTTATCTTTTTTATGCTGTTGTAGTCAGAAAATGGAGGTACTCAGCTCTTAAATGCATCACTTGGTTCTGTGGAGTACATCACCTCCTTATGCAAATCCAATGTGGAATCTCATAAAATAAAGGAAGCAGTGAAAATGTCTGCTTATGGCTGCGATCTTGTTCAAGCAGCACTCTCTGTCAATAAAAAGGTAAACCAAAATATACTTTGTAAATGTTCCAATATATATAGAAATAACGAATGCTATATTGTAATAACTTAGGTGTCTGACTTATTTCAAAAGGTCATGTAATGCTTAAGTTGTGTTAGATTACATAATGCAACATAACAAGTTACATAATGGGTTTTTTTAAACAATGCTTGATGATAAGTTAATTTCTAAACTCTTTTTCTTTTTCATTTTTTTGCACATGAAATAACGCAATTGTTTATCTACTAATTTCATTCGTTTTGGAATGTAATTTTTAGGAGAATGCATCCTATTTTTTCTCTTTTGTTTTTTATATGGTACCTTAGCTGCATAATCTCTCTTTAGATGTTTTACTACTTTCTTGCATAAACTGGAATTACAAAAATTAATAATGTAGGTTTCTTTTTCTGCCAATTGGCCATATAGGATTTCCAGTGAGGTTCATCCTTGCAGATAGTTCCTCCTCTTGGACATGCTCACCATATAGTGGATTGGTATCTGGTTCTAAGGTCATAAAATTTGTTCAATTTTTGCATGTGGCTTCTGTTTCTTAGCGGATTGCATTTTGATGGAAATGCTTAGATAATGTTGTGATTATGATTGAATTTAACTCTTAATTTCTAATATCTTAGATTTCAGACTTTAAATGATTGTGATCAATTTAATTAATTTGATTCCTCTACCCATCATTAGAATTTTTTTCACCTTCGGTCTTTTTCCCATATTGCAAGCATGCAATGCAGCTGAATTTTTTTATGTGCACCTAAAA